CAACTGCGACTGTGATTCGGTGCCCCTTCTCTCCATTCCCCAAGGTACAACGTTAACCCTATATTAGATCTGTTTCTAGGGTTCGTTTCTATGTCAATTATCTTGGGATCGCGATCGCTATGCTTGAAATCTCGATTTGCGTACGGTTTCTTTGTTGTTCTGTTTGATGTGTGTATGAGTATCTACCATCGATTTGGTTTTAATCGGAGTTTTATTGTGTAAAGGACCTTTCTTTCACGGAGGCATGGTGATAAGTTTGAGTGATTTTATTTTATTTTATTTTTTCATTTTTTAGATGAGTTGATTGTAGTGTGATTTGATAAAGAGGTGGATTTTTGGCTCCCTTTTGTTGTTCATTTCCCTCAATGGGGTATATGCAATTGTGGTGTTTGTTTGCTTGTATTAATTACCGAGATGCATTTGATGTCGAATTATTCCGAGCTTCTTGCACGATGATGGCTTAATTGATGGAAGCACTGAAGATTGAGCCTTTTGCTCTGATAGCTATATAACTAAAATCTATCTGTGTAGTTTTGAGTGACATCACCAACCCGGCATTTCTGTGAGCTTTTTAAACTTGGCTTCTCATTGCTACCATAATTGGTTCACACCTGTTATTTGATTACAAATCTCATGATAAGAATATAGCAACCATCAAAAGTTGGGTCATTAATGAAAAATCATTTCGAAATGTCAAGCAAAACGCAGCTGGTCTGTGACTTAACATATGTCTTTTACTGTCGCTAGTTGTGTTTATCTGGTTGAGTTCTTTTTCTTACGTGATTGAGTTTCTTGTCATGAACTTTGTGTTTTCTTTTAATCTGGTTCTGTTAAAGCTTGATTATAATTATTGCTGTTTGCCATTCTTGCAGGACTGAATAATTCTTCATTTGCTGGTACGAACATACACTTTCTTTGAATTAGTGTATATCATATTATTTATTTTTGTTTATGATCTTGGATCATTCTTTGCATGTTGGTTGTTTACATATGCAACAAAGCCAAATGGAACCTGGCCGAGTTTTTTGCCCGAAGCAGTCTGATAAAATACTTAACCAAGCTTTTTATATCCAAGAAAATTATTTCATCAACGAACATTTAAATTGGCGGAAAGTCACTATGCACTATGCATCATATAATCATTTAACCAACAATTGGAATGTGAATATGCAGTTTGAGATCAAGAAAATGTATTTACCTCAAGTTATTTAAAACAGGAACATGAAAATTTAGCGAAACAAAATCCGATGTTAAAAAATGTTAGAACAAGAATTGAAAGTTTGATCTTCAGTGAAAGAATTTCCATGATGTTTGGTGATTCACATGCATTTTCCATCGAGAAAAAAAGTCAATAGTTACTTTTTAATTTTTCTTCAGTATATTGTTTACATTGTTGATAATTCTCCTGGCATAGTGCATAGTGCTAATAATGGACTAGATCAAAATGACTCAATTAAATGCTAGTGCTTCTTCTATTAGTGAAGTTTCTAGCAAAAAAATATACCAAAGGACGCAATGCACCTTGGGTTGCTACGGAAACAGCCTCCTTGTATAATCACAAGGGTAAGGTCTGCGTACAACTGACCCTCCAGACCCCAACCAGTTGGGAATATACTGGGTATGTTGTTGTTGTTGTTGTATTGTTTACATTGTGTTTATGCGCCTGTGTTCTTTTTACGATCTTTCTCATGGTAATTGTAACTGGTCTGGAATTGGAGGATCTTATCTGATCCCAAGCTTTACTTAATGTTATCTTGTCTCGATTATTTTTCAAGTTCACTTATGCACATTATTAGAGAAACCTTTTAATTTTTCTTATATGCAAAATGGCTGATACTATTCTTGTATTGTGAATATTTCGTGTTGCATGATGAAATTGCTTAGTTTTTAGTACACGACAAAATATTTACACATCTCTATTTTTTTCTCAATGTCTCGAAAGATTGTGCAAAGCACGATCCAGATGTGAATGACGATACCCAGAAGAACTTTGCAGACCTATTGTCTGATGAACTTAAGTTACGAGAAGCTGAGGCTTTGGATCATCAGCAGCGTGCTGACAAGGCACTGCTCGAGGCTAAAAAGATGACTTCCCAATATCAGAAAGAAGCCGACAAGTGTAATTCCGGAATGGAAACGTGTGAGGAGGCGAGAGAAAAATCGGAAGCTGCTTTATCAGCACAAAAGAAGCTAACAGCTTTGTGGGAGTCAAGGGCACGCCAACGAGGCTGGAAAGAAGAAAATGCCAGGGCTTCATCGTAGTCACCTTAATACACATGCATTTTATTAGCTTTTTTACCAAAACTTCATATAATAGTTCCTTCTGATTGAAGACAGTATCTGGTGTTTTTTAGCTGTAAGTGAGC